CATTATTCCTTGGCTGGACTTCTTGCTCCCCACCTTGGTCTTCCTGTTTGTTCTCAACCAAGTTGTTGGCTCTGGGCCACTGAGTCAGGTAGATTCTAAAGTATGAGATTTCTTACTTCCACTACAAGTTCCACTAGCGATAAGTCTTCAAACTTTTTAAATATTCCTAGATATATGGTTCAGGGTTTTGGAACTCTGCCTTGAACCCACTTCGCCAGGTATTTTGTGGTATTGCTGACAGAGAACTCCAATGCACCTCTATCCTATCTGCCATCAAGCCCCCCTCCAGTCCAAGACTTTTTAATGATGACAACTCAGTTATAAGTATAATAAGGTCCAAGTTTTATACCAAGTTAGAAGTAATTCTTGATATAAATGCATTTAGTATAGAAATAAAGTTGAAATACTTACAAAATTACTAGAGTAATACAGCATACATACATTGTTCTTTAAGTTAAGTACCACTGAGTCTGTTTTGACTCATAGTGGCAAAAGAGCTACTGGAGAATTTGAACTGCCAACATTGCAGTTCAAACTGACCTTTCTGTTGAGTGCTTATTCTACAACAACACATATTAGTTGATACTACATACATTTTTGAGCTATTAAAAACCCTAGAAATTTTAGAAAATATTAATACAAACTGAAATTAATGTTACCAACAAAAGTTAGAGAATTAAGTCATGGAAAATTGCTGTGCTTTTCTTCTTACTGTCTGCTCCCTACTACGATACCTTTTTATTTAAGTCCTTGTGTGGCACTGTAGGACCCACCAGCCACTCCTATGAAACCCTATACAGTATCATTATGATTTGAAACTGACTCAAAGACATGCAACAATATGATTTTGGCTCTTTTAAATATATCCAGATTGTTTATATCATCAAAATAACAAATTATGTAAGTATTTTAGGAAAAAAAACTGGTCAATTTTAAGTGACCACTTGGTTAGCCTATGATTTTCAGTGATTTGGCCAGATTCTGGACTGGTTGTTTTTCTATAACATAAGATAATTAATAAAATGTAAACCAATACAGTACGAACACAACACAACACAATGCAACCTAACAAAGTAATGTGATACAATTATCTCTTATAATGTGACCTGACATTATCATCTAATTAATTGAAAAGGGACTTTGCTTGGGAGTGTGGTCTGTTTCTAGAACATCAATGGATATTCTACCAGAGCTCATTCCCTCTATAGATTCAGCAATCTCCTTGTCACTTGAACTTCAGATCATCAGAAATAAGCCTGACATTTTCTAAGGCTTGCTGCTCACCCTGCAGATTATGGATTCACCTTAATCCCATTAGCCAAAAAAATGTATGTAGTTTTCTGAACTTGTTAGCCCACACGATTTCATGATAAATTACCTGGCTTTGCTCCTCTAGAGAACCGAACTAAGCGTATTTCAATGAATTATATTCCTTAAATAAACGAGGTCCATCAGTTTTATGCATTCAAACAAACAAACAAACAAACAAACAAACAAACAAACAAACAAAAAATGTCTTAAGCCAATTGCAATTCATAGCAACCTTACAGGACAAAGTAGAACTACCACATAGTGGTTCCAAAGCTACAATCTAAAAAAGCAGACTCTCTTATCTTTCTCCTGTGGATCTGGACATTCTGATTAGAAGCCACCCATATTGTTCCCAGATGTTTGTAAGTTTTATGGTTATTGTAGGTGCTGTCAAGTCAGTTACAACTCGGTGACTCTATATAGGGTTTCAAAAACAGTAATTGTTGCAAGAGCAGAAAGCCTCATCTATCTCCCAAAGAGTTGCTGGTGAACTCAAACTGCCAACATTTTGGTTCACAGTACAGTGCTTATCCTCTAGGGTCACCATAGTCCCTTATAAAATTTAGATTAATTTCTATATTATTTATATGTATGCATTCTATTTTTCCCTTGTTGGCAAATAGTATAACTTCTACCTTCAATGAATTAGTTGTTATCCCCAGCATGTTAGAATACAGAAATTATACAGTAAAAAGTTTTCTTTTCTACCCAAACCCCTGTACAATATAAATAGATGTTTTTAAGAGACATCATCATGAGGAATCTGTACCTGGGCAGAACATGGGAACACTGAATGTTTTAAAATTAAGAAAGGTGTGCGACAAGGTTGTATTCTTTCACCATACTTATTCAACCTGTATGCTGAGCAAATAATCCAAGAAGCTGGGTTCTATGAAGAAAAACGTGGCATCAGGATTGGAGGAAGACTCATTAACAACATGCAATATGCAAATGAAACAATCTTGCTTGCTGAAAGTGAAGAGGACTTAAAACATTTACTGATGAAGATCAAAGAGCATAGTCTTTTATATGGATTACAGCTCAATGTCAAGAAAACAAAAATCCTCACCACTCGACCAATAAACAACATTCTTATCAACAGAGAAAAGATTGAAGTTGTCAAGGACTTCATTTTTCTTGGATCAACTATCAACACTCGTGGAAGCAGCAGTCAAGAGATCAGATGATGTATTACATTAGGCAAATCTGCTGCACAGGAACTTTTTAAAGTGTTGAAAAGCATAGATGTCAGCTTGAGGACTAAGGTGCGCCTGGCCCAAGCCATGGTATTTTCATTAACCTCATATGGATGTGAAAGCTGGACAATGAATAAGGAAGATCGTAGAAGAATTGATGCTTTTGAATTATGGTGTTGGAGGAGAATACTAAAAGTGCCATGGGCTGCCAAAAGAACGAATAGATCTGCTTTGGAAGAAGTGCAGCCAGAGTGTTCCTTAGAGGCCAAGATGGCCAAACGTCGTCTCTCATATATTGGACATATTGTCAGGAGGGAACAGTCGCTGGAGAAGGATATCATACTTGATAAGATAAAGGGTCAGAGAAAAAGAGGAAGACCCCCAACAAGATGGATTGGCCAGGTGGCAACATGGACTCAAGTGTGGCAGCGGTAATGAGGTTGGCCCGAGATCAGACATTGTTTTGTTCTGCTGTGCATGGGGTCACTATGAGTCGGTTCCAACTCGATGGCAACTAACAACAACAACAAGAAGAGCTATCGAGTCAGGTCCGACTTTAGAAATCCTTCATAGGGTTTCTGAGGAGCAGTTGGTGAGTTTGAACCTCTCACTTTGTATCTTTCACAATCCAGTGCTTATACTATAGAGCCAAACCAGGAGTCCCAGATTATATATAGCTATACCTATTTTACTTTCAAAGTATTATTAAATAGTTCATTGTATCCATTTTAGGTCTTGAAGATTATTTCTAGAAAGAAAAAAAAAAAGTTGTTGTGATATTGTAGGAAACGTACTTGACTGCTGACTCCAATTTGGTGGTTCAAATTCACAAGTTGATCCTCGTGAACCCTGTACAGGGTCACCAAGAGTCTGAAAAGACTCAATGACATTAACAGCAGCAACAACAATAAAAATTGATAAGTGTAACAAATGTTCCCTAGTATTTACAGAAAGCTCCCTCATAGAGCAATGCTTATTCACTTGTTGCCTTTAGAAGGGTCAGTTGTTTGGAACCGCCCTCTACTATGTGGGAGAAAAGACCTGGTGATCTGCCCCCATAAAGATTATACCTATGATACCTCTGGGAAGTTCTACTCTGCCTTCCAGGGTTTCTGTGAATTGGAATTGTCATACAAAACAACAGTGATTACAAATATATTTCACTTTTTTAAGCAGTAATGAGTAAATATTATTGTCATGATGTAAAAATAAAAGTTTAACATAAATAAGATTCATATAACTATTACCACATAAAACACAATAGGAAATCTTTTCAAAAAGTTAATATAGTTGTTAGTACAAATAAATAATAAAGTTGAAATTTATTGTAGAAATCATCCCTAAGTGAATTATTTGATCTGTAAATAAAATACATGCAGGAAATTTGTGCTGGATATTTTGGCTTCAAATAAAGAGATCTCTTGTATCTATTAATACTTTTCATATATGCAAAGTTTCACATTAATATATGAGCATCTGAACTAGAACACAGTTCATGAATAACTAAGATTATTGGAGATTAAAGTCACAATTATAGAGTTGAATATGAGAATGTTTATGGCAAAAAACATACTTGACTATTAGTTTTGAATTCTATGTAAAAATATGGTACATACACTCTTCTAATAGCAACATTGAACTTATTACTGTAAGTAATTTGAAACAATTTGAAAAAATATGACTGCAATATAAATTCTAAATTATAAATAAAACTTACGTGCTTTATGGAACTTTTGTTTTATATCATAAATAGTTGATTTTTCTGTCACCTAAAGGAAAAATAAGAATACAGAGAATCGTAAGGTAGAAAAACCATAGGATAATTTTGGTTGCCTATATGTTGAAATAAGGAGCACTGGTAGTGTAGTGGTTATGAATAGACCTGCTAAACTCAAGATTGGCAGTTCAAAACTATCAGCTGTTTTGCAGGAGGAAGATGAGGTTTTCTGCTCCCATAAAGATTTGCAGCCTCGGAAACCCTGTGCAGGGTCACTATGAGTTGGAACTGACTCCACAGTACTTAACAACAACAACATATGCTTAAATGGAAAATAGTCTAATATTCTTAAAAGTAAAATATGCAAAATTTAACAATTTTTGTTTTATTAGTCACTAATTTTTACAACTTTAGAACATAGTTACCATGAATTTTAACATAGAAATGATATTTATATAAACAGTAATGGTGTTATGTGAGTTCATCCAAATAAACATTTTTTAAATTGTCTTTACCTAGAATATTTAATTTCTGTTTCTCAGAATGATTCTGTCAGTAGAATTCTGAGTAAAGGCACAAGATAAAAAGCAAAACAGGGAATCATATATGCACCTGAAAATATGGAGTTGATTATATAGACTGTAAACAAAACAAAACAGAACAGAAATATGACATATGGCACCAGATTATTCCCCCCAGTACACACTCTGTTTCTCTATTGTATTCAATAATCCATTGCAATGACCACACAGAACTCAGACAATAAACTCATAGTTATAGGGTTTATTCATAGTTATAGGGTTTATTAAGAAAGTTAACAGGTTACAAGTCTACCAGAAAATTTACACTGCATAATTTTTTCAGTCAGAAAAGCTTCTCCTCAGCCATACCTGTAGGCAAACCTCTCTCTGCCAGGGCAGTGTTACCATTGCTGAGAAATGTTCATAGGCATACCACTGCACCATAAGCCTCAGCCTGAATACCCTTGGCTGTAGCTCCTTGGGTAAATAATCCTAGCTCTCTCATATAAGTGCCTGGAAGCACCACACTCTACACTGGAAGTCACTCAGTCATTCAGCTTTATTTGCTCTGTAGACCTAATAGCCCACTACTCTGTCATGTATTCTAGCTCTTGGTTCTGCTGCACTGCTCATCTGCCACTCTTCTATGTCACAACTTTCTGTCCCTAGGTTGAAGAGGTTTAATGAGATAGGATCTATGTGTCCATCTGAGACACTCACTGCAGGGTATTCTTGTTTCATGGTAGTCAAATGCCCCATCCTACTTGTGAGATGTTTTATACCCATGGCAGTGTTTCAAGTTTTATAATTACATTGAATTATATTAACATACAAAGCTGAATCATATCATCCTATCATAATCCCCTCATATTTACAATTAACCAGACACAGTAGGGGGAAAATGTTGTTTGGTAGGAGTGACTGGGGAAAAAAAAAAAATACTTCCTCAAAGTAGAGTTGACCACGATGACGTGAATAGAGTT